AAAAAAAAAAATCCACTGAATTACAGACTGTAAATGGATGAAGTATATCATGTGTCAATTATATCTCAATAAATATGTTCACTCAAAAAAGTTGATTCGTGAAGGATTGATCACCTTCTGCTCTTTAGGATTACTCTTGAGAGATCCAAGTCTGATCTTCCCACCAGACTGGAGGTGCCCACCATGGCAATGGCTTTGTCTGTACTTCCCTATGCCCCATTCCTTAGCAGAGACTGAGACAGATGAAGCACTGATGATAGTTTGCTGAGTGAATAAATAAATGTATGCATCTCAAACTCCTATTCACTCTTCAATACCCCAAAGAGGAGATTCTTCTTCAGGGAAATCCTGAATGTTCTGCTCTGACAAAAATTCTTACTGTCTTTGCACTAATCTGTGCATCTTTCCATCATGGCAAATGTCATGCTAGGACAGATTCAGTGGCAAGTCAAACTGAGAACCCTGTGACCATGAGCAGGATTCTTTGATTCAAGTTTATGTCTACAGAAACCTGGCTTACAGCAGTTGCTCCAAAACTGGCATCTCCTCACCATCCCTGTGTCCTGGGGAGCCAGGCCATGGAGAACCAACTCACACACCTTCCCTGTTACAGCACCTGGGGCCTCCCTGACTCTGAGGGCACAGAGCTCTGAGGAGCAAAGCCAAGCCCTCATCTACAGTGCAGATGTCCCAGCCTCTAGGGAAGCCCTTCCTCCCCGAGGCTCCATTTCCAAGCACACGACCTCAGCATGCACATACCCGCAGCTTGACCTGGGTCCGCTTACGAAGCCACTTTTCACGGGGGTTCGCGGGGCTCAGTGCCGCAGGATCCAGGCTGGTGCTCTCCTTGATGCCCACACTCTCGTAGCGCATCACCTGAAAACAGCCCAGCAGGCCTCCCTGTCAGGCCTTCTGGGCCCCTCTCCCTCCCTCCCAGGGTATCAGAGTCCCCCCAACCTCCCTCTCTGGGACCCGCAGGAGGCTTGGACCCTACCACCTGTGTCCCTGCCTGCCTATCCTGACACCCTAATGACTCTGTTCCTGGGAGCGGTCTCTGTCCTCCATGCCCAAATCCAGTGGCTACTGCACCTGCACCTGTTCCCTGCTTTTCTTCCTGTTATGACAGGTGGCCCTTACCTAAGGCCAGCTGGAGGCCAGATCCCAGCCCATCCCCCTTCCTAAGGACATTGTTCCAGCTGAGTCGCTAGTTAGGCTTTCTATGCTGAATCATTCTCTTTGCATCCAAACATGCCAGTGCTCTCCCCATCACTAAACAATACTCCCTCTAGGACCCATTGTGCCTCTCTTCCACCCACTCCAGTGGGCTCTCTCCCCGTTGCTCCACTAACGCCATTCTTCCTTAGGCCCCAGTGACTTCCATCCTGCCATCTTGGAGGTCTTCTGTCTACCCTCTCTGGGTTCTCCTCCCACCTCAAGCAATGTCCTCTTCCATCTCTCTCTGTGGCTCCTCCACACCCCTCCCTGACCTTCTCTGTCTATCAGAACCCCCTTGGTGTGGCAGCCATTGCCAGTTTTATTTTTGTTGTTGTTGAGACAGAGTCTTAAGCTGTCACCCTTGGTAGAGTGCTGTGCGTCATAGCTCATAGCAACCTCCATCTCTTGGGCTCAAGCAATCCTCTTGCCTCTGTTTTTCTTTTTTTTTTTTTTCTATTTTTAGGTACAGATGGGGTCTCACTCTTGCTCAGGCTGGTCTTGAACTCCTAAGCTCAAGCAGTCCATCTACCTCAGCCTCCCAGAGTGCTAGGATTATAAGTGTGAGCCAACACACCTGGCCCATTGCCGGTTTTAAATGCCACCTGTACTCTGATGACTCCTACATTTTTATCTCTAGTCCGGACATCTTCCCTAAGCTTCAGACTTACCTTCTCACCTTCCTCCCCAACATCTAACAGGCACCTCCCACTGCACATGTCCTAACACCCAGCCCTGCTCTTCCCAAGTCGCAGGAAATGGCAGCACCATAGTTACTCAGATGGGGCTCCCCTCTTTCCCTCACAGCCCAGACACCCACGGGCATCTCACCACGCCTCAGTGCCTCCACACCAGCATCCTAGTTCCCGATCACCTCTGAGTTGGGTTCCTCCACTTATCTCACCAGGGATCTCATGGTTCCTTTCCTACCCCCCTAAATAACAGCCCCAGAGTTTACTTCTAAGAGCATAAGTCAGTTGGTATTTCTTCCTTGGGCTTCTCACTGAACCTAGTGTAAAACCACACCCTGGCTTTGGCCATTGAGGCTGTCTGAGAACTGACCCCTGCCCACCATCAACTTCCTCCCTGGCCAGGCTCTTCCTCGAGCACTGGCCTTTCTGCTACACCTGCTTTTCTGAAGAGGAGGACATTGAGACCCAGGGAAGAGTAGGAATTTATTACTCCTCCAAGTTGAAATATCAGTACATTCTCCTACATAGTTCCCATTTAATTTCCTAGAAAGTACCATGCCATCAGCCACACAGAAGCCAGTGTACTTTATGAAAGCCATTCTCTGACCAGGTCACCACCCACTTGTTTTACTGCTCCAATGCCTTCTCAGAGCCCTCAAGATAAAGAGCAAAGGCCCAACATGGTCTGCAAGAGATGCTTCCTCTCCAGACAGAGAAGGGTGGCACTGTCCCAAGGTCCCTGCAGGGCCCAGGAAGGCAGCAGCTGTACCTGTCTCAGGACGAAGGCGACCACATCAGTGGACTCCCAGTAGCTGGCATGGAAGAGGTGGGGCAGGGCTACAGTAGGGAAGGCTGTGAGGACATCGGGGCAGTACAGGGCGTAGTCAATCCGCTTGGCACCCCACCACTTGGCCGTGACTGTGGGTCAGAGAGAGTGGTGAGGACGAGTGGCCTGCCAGGGACCTTGACCTATAGGGCAGTGGGGAATATGTCTACTCGCACCTGGGGTATGAGTCTGGGGCCAGAGCATCCCCCTCTGAATGAGCTCTGGGGTGTGTACCACTCTTCCTCTCATCTTATGGTACCCACTAGCCCCTCTCAAAGATCTGTGCTCCAGACTGGTCCCTAGGAATGAGGGTCAGACCCACAGAGACTACAGTCTCACCTCAGGGCCGAAGCTCAGCAGTCAGGGCTGGCCCCATGATCAGAGATCAGAGCCCTGTTCAGGGTCAGAGGTCAGGGCTCTGTCTGAGGTCAGAGCTCAGTCTCAGGCCACTCAGGGGTCAAAGCTCTATTTAAGATTAGAGCTCAGTCAGTGTTGGGCAGCATCAGAGTTCAGGGCTCTTTCTAAGGTCAGAGCTCAGTTAGGGGCCAGGGTGTGGAATTGGACAGAAGCCACTGAGGGCCTAACCCCCTAGAGCCCTGGCAGAGGACCAGCAGCCACCCAGAGGAAGGTCCCTCCCCCTTGCATCCAGGCAGGGCCCCCAAAAGACCTCACTCACTGCGGGAGGCACCCACGGGTGCCAGGCTGTCCGAGGACTCCGAACTCTCACTGTGGGAGCTGCCCTCACTCATCCTCCGTCCTGGGCGCTGGGAGCTCTGGGCTTGAGGGGGTGAGGCAGGAGCATCCAGGAGCGGTGGGCTATACTGGGAGCTGCCCTCCAGGAAGAGAGAGCTGTGGGTGTGCAGGGCATCCGCTGGAAGGGGAGTGCTAAGGTCAGGCTGAGTCATGTGACTGGGCAGGCGGCCAGCCTCAGGGGAGCCAGCCTCAGCCCTCCTCACTCGCCTGCCCAGTAGGCAACTATACCCTCCACTCTTGGGGCCTGAAGGAGCCCCTTTGCCACAGCACATTTCTGATTCACCTCCTCCCAGTTGTGAGGTATATAGGCAGAAGCTGGGGATCCATTCATCACCCCCAACCCCAACAAAGCTGCAGAGGGAGCCACTGGGTGACTGCCCTGAAGCACCAGCTGAGGTCACAGGGTGACACATAGCCATGTCCTTTCTTATCAAATGCCTCCCCTGAGCCACAAAGGATTGTAGCTGCATCTGGAAGGGAATGGAGGCGGCACTTGTGGCTCAAAGGAGTAGGGTGCCAGCCCCATATACCAGAGGTGGCGGGTTCAAACCTGGCCCCAGCCAAAAAAACTGGAAGGGAATGGAGACTCCAGCCTTGAAGCTAGGGTGGCCTCTAGGGGAAGGGGATTCCCCAAATAAAGAGACATATTTTAGGGGGAAAGATTTTAGAGCCTCTCCTGCCTATAGAAGCTCTTGAGGAGCAAGGCTTTGGGAATAAAGTCTCCAGTGAGATAGGGTTGAGAGCAGATGGTTGCTAATCCTGAGCTGCATGCTCCCAGCAGGCTTAGGCCAAACTTCCTCAAGCAGGGTATGGAGCCATGACTGTGGTTTCCGTGGCCCTGCTGGTCTGTCATAGGCCTCCCCTGGGTAACACCCCAGTCCAAGCCCACCTCACTCTACTTGACCTAGAGGCCATGGGCATTTCACCAACTCACCTGCCCTTGCTACTGCTGTTTCCCTCCAAGCCCCCAGCTCTTCTCCATCTGTCCAAATTCACCTCCCCAGTCCAGGCTCTGGGGAAAGCCTACCTCTTCCATGAAGCCCACCAGGATCGCACACTCACATCCTGCCCCTCCAGAGTCCAGGCTGGGCACTCAGAAACAGTGCTTAGCACAAATCTTGGACTTGCCATCAAGCCTGACACTTCAAGTGTCACACTGGACTGGGCCTCAGGAGCTTGGCCAGAGCCTTTTAGGGGGAAGATGCACACAGGGGGGCCACCCTGAACACAGAGGAGTCAGCTATCTTCCGTCTGCCAGAGACTGTACTCAGATGAGTGACCCCATTGCTGACAGCTTGGAGAGGCTGGACCAGAGAGGGCAGAGCTGGGGTGCCACCAGAGAACCTACCAAGGAGGAGGGACTGTCCATCACCCAGTGGGAACCTCTGGTAGCGGGGCACACTGACAGGAGGTACCAGGTGGAACTTGGGTTCCAGCAGCGGCTCAAGCCTCGAGGCAGAGGGGTCTGCGCAGTGGAAGAAGCTGTAGACCTGGCTGCAAGCAGGACGCACCTGGAAACCTGGGGCAAGTGAGGAGGGGACACATGGGGAGGCCCCTTTTTAGTATCCACTCTCTTGGCCCTAAAAGGGTCCCTGGAGTGTAGTTTTGAGCTGCCTATTCCTCTGCTCAAGAACATCACATGGCTCCCAGCTATCAATAGGTACAAAACCGCTAAGTTCAGATTGGCATTCAAGGCCTTGCAATCTGCTCCACCTGGAAGTGCAGGGCCCCTGCACTGCAGCCAAGTGAACACCCTCCATTCCTCAACCAGGCTTGCTGCTTCCCCTTCTCTGATCCTTTACACTAGCTGTGCCCTCCTCTTCATAGGCCTCTTTCCACTATTTCTACCGGTCAAACTCCTTCCAATTCTTCCAGCTCAGTTGCTACCTGATCTATGAAGCTGACCCCTGTGCCTTCAGTCAAGACAGCTGCCCCATCCCCAGGCCCTCACAGTACCATGTCTCCCTTGGATCCTAGGCCTGGAGCTATCCAGAGCTCCAGGTTTGCCTGAGCTGGAGGAACACTTCTCTCACTGACCAGCAGGTGTCTCCACTGAGGCCTGACTGTTCCTCCAGGTCAGGAGACTGGACCGTCTAGTCCCAGGGAGCCGTAGGGTCCCTCAGCCACACTGAGGACAACTATGGAGTTATGTCCCTTCTCCCTCACTTCAGCCACAGCCCTCTCTTCATCTGTTCCACATTGCAGGTTGCTGCTAAACTTTGGTGGGAAGGATCCATCTTTTGATATATAAGGTGCCCTCTGCCTCTGACAGTCTGGACCCTTATCCTCAAAGTCACAAGCCCCCTCCCCTGATGCCACTGGTGCACATTTTAGAGGAAAAGGAAAAGATATCCAAGGTTGCAGGTCTTGCATCAGCAAAGACACTGAGTGGGCTTGGTGGGTCAATGCAGGGCTTGGTGAGACCAACCTATAGTAGGACAGGAGAAGGAGCAAGTAGGAGGTAAATCGGCCAGGGGAATGTGACAGGGACAGTGAAATTCATCAGAAGTGGCCTCCCCTTTGCCCCATCTGGGGGAACTGCTCCCCTCTCCATCCTCTCTTCTACCTATTTCAACTCCATGACCCTCTCTGCCCCGAGCCCTAGTCCCAGCCCCCCACATTTTGAGACCCTGATATCTCCATACCCACCATCCAGCCCAGGCAGCACGGTCCTCCGCATGGCCAGGACCAGCCCCAGAGGGGAGCCAAAGAGGAAGAAGTCAGACACTTCAAAGTCAAAGCGTCCCAGGCTGACCTCGGGGAGCTGGGGCGCCCCAGCCGCAGGGAGCTCGCCCTCGTCCTGTAGCACGCTGGAGTGGATGCTGAGATGAGAGGAAGACACCAGACAGGGCGGGTTAGCAAAGGACAGAAAAGGTGGGAGTGTTCACACAGCAGCGTGGCCTGAGTCTGAGCATGGCGTGCCCAGCCTTCCATCTCCAGGACGGCACTCAGAGCAGACGCCACCTGCCAGACACCAGCAACGTGAGGTGGCAACCATCTCAGCACTGGCCACCAAGGCCCGGCTGACTTTGGCTAGAGCAAGAGTCAGCAAACTACTTCTGCAAAGGGCTGGGTAATAAAAATTTCAGACTTTGTATAAGTTGTATGGTCTCCGTTGCATCTACTTCACTCTGTCGTTGTCAAGTGAAAGCAGCACAGACGATAATTAAATACAGGACGTGTGGCTGTGAGCTCATAAAACTTTACTTACAAAAACAAGCTGAACACCCGAGGGCCCCCCAAGCATCCTACACTCTGGCAAGCCTGCATTGTTGTGCTGATTTTGTGATGGCCATGCTGGGAATTCCTGTGCTGCCTACCGGAGAAGTCCAGACTGGCCAACACAGAGACCAGCTGGATAATGTCAGTTTTGCCAGAATTAGGGCTTTCATTGTAACTGGTGTTCCAAGCAGCCCGTAGACATGCATGAAAACAGCTCGGTCTCCCCCACCCATTCCCCAGCCAGCAGATGAAATAGTTTTTAAAAAGAAAAACAGAAATACACAGAATCCTAAGCATTGCCATCCCAGGTCCACTGGCCTGAGGAAAGTGCAAGTTTTGTTCAGCGGGAGACTCAATGCAGGCGCTGAGGGGCAGGAGGAAATCTGGAGACCACCCTGACTTTCCAGCCAGGGACAGTGTAAGCTGAAAATATCAGTGGGATCTTACGGTACATCAGTCGTGTGGATGCAACTGCAATTAAAATACTCAAGGTGGAGGTAAAAAATTTTAGAAATAACAATTGAAATAGTGTGGGCAAATGCCCAGCCTCCGGAGTGGGAGAGTCTGCAAAGCCAGTCCTCACGCCCTCCTTCCTCTCGCAGTGTGAGCATCTCCCAGAGAGGATGATGACTCTGGTGTTTAACAATACATATTTCATGTACAGCGTGGTCCCTAAACACACGCCAACTACTTAATTGCCAAAGAAACTGCCATCTGTCTCTATACCAGAGGGAAAAGCTGGCTGTGTCGGACCAGCTACTGAAAACTTCCAACTTCTTTCCATTCTCCAAATGTGGGGCTTTCCTAGAGGATTTTTCAAGGATGAACCAGAAATGTTGAAATTTTCCACCTTGCAACCCTTGCTTGAATGTAGCTGCTTTTCTAAAGGATAATCTGTAAGAAGGATTTTAAATATTCAGAAATTTAAATAGGCAGAGGCTTTGACCTCGTAACTCCTCCTCCAGGAATCCAGCTGAATGAAATAACTCTAATATATACATTAATGTTTATCCATGAAGATGTTCACTACAGTTCTATTTATAATGGTGAAGAATTGGAAAAGGCCAAGGTGTCCATTTACTGGGATTAAGTAAACTGTTACCCATCCACTCAGTAAAATATTGTATTACCATTAAGGGTATTTACCAAGGATTTTTTAATTATATAAGACAAGATCACAATAGAAATGTGTGTTTTTTTTTAAGTAAAACTATATGAAAAGCATGTAAAAAAAAATACAGAAAGAATATACTCTCAATGTTAACAGTGGTTCCCCCTAGGTGATGAGATGACACATTTTCCAAATGTTATAATGACCTCATGATACTTACAGCTTGGATAAGAAAGAAGGAGAGAGGAAGGGAGAAGAATTGAGGAGAAAAGGAAGAAGAAAGAGACAGTTATTCCAATGTGGGTTTATGTCAAATAGTCACTTGTATCCTGAATTAACGTGCAGACAATTCATTTAGCCCATGTTGATTCAAACATGTCTTTTCTGGAAAGTCAGAGGGTGAACAGTTCCATACAGGGGCCTGCCTGGACTACAAATAAATGTGTGTTTTGTCAGAAAGCACTGAACCAGGATAAGGAGCCCAGAAGGTGGATCTTAGCTCTTCTGTAACTGGCTGTGTAACTTCCAGAAGGTTCCTGACCTACATGGTCCTGTTTCCCCATCTAAGATGATAAGAACATGAAGCTGAGGTACCTCACAAAACATGCTTGCAAATGTTATCTCACTAGAATCTTAAAACCATCCCATGAAGCAGGCTAGGCAGTGTCACACTTTTGTACAAGATGAAACCAAGACTCTTAGGCATGAAATCAATTGTCCTCAGTCTCTCTGCATGTCAGGGTGAGGTAGGGAGAAGGAGCAGTTTCTGGGGGCTCAGTGCGGGCCTGATGGCCAGTGGTCCCAGCACTTCAATCCTTGTCTATGGGCCCCCATGGAAAGGCTTGGGTCACAGCCCTTCCTGATGACTTTGAGCCATGGTTCTCTGTCTCCTTGATTATTTGATGGAAGGAAAGCAGGAGACAGGGAAGGGTGTTACCTTGAAAGGAAGGCATGATGCTGGGTGATGGCCTCACAGTCATAGGTGGAAGAGTCGCTCTGTTTCCGCGGCAGTGGTCTCTTGGGCTCCTCATCCTCCAACCCGCTGGAGATGTCAATGTTGCTTTTGCTGAGACGCTTGCTGCTGGCCAGATCACAATCTTCCTCCACCACAATCGGGGTGTCCTTCGGGACCAAGCAGAAGACAGGAGAACACTATTGTCACAGGAGACTCTGGGGCCCTGCCTCCTCCCCCAGGAACAAATCAACCCATTCCTTCTAGGATGTGACAGCCTCTGCTTCTTCCAAAAGGCATGTAGAAGCCACAACATAGTACTGGTAGGATTTCAGCCCCAGGCCATCTCCTACATCCGCAGGGATTGGCAATCCAACAGAGACAGCTGTCTAGGAAGCCAAATCCAAATTAGCCCTCTCTGGGCCTCAGTTTGCTCTCCTGGGATATCAATTCTCTTGCTGCTCTTGCAGGATTATGATACAATCCTCTGTAATAACCTGGATGGCACGGTGCTGATGTGAAGGACAGCACTACCTCCCTAGGGACCCCCGCCCCTCTGGGATGTGCTCTCCCCCATCCCACCACCTTGGCCGCACCTGGTTGCTGCTGATGCTCCCCTTCCGGCTGCCGCTGCCAGGGCTGTCCCCCAAGGGCCCTGCACTGTAGCAGATGGCATCGAAGGCCAGGAGGCCGCCCACGCAGTCCCCAATGAGACACACCTGGAAAGGCACAGCTGGACTGCAGGCTCACCCACCACAGATGCCCAGACACCCTGCCCCATGCCCAGCCTGACTAGGAGGCCCCTAGAGAGCCTGGTAGGGAGGTAGTGCTCCTGGGGCCAGGCTCACTCTCAGAACTCAGACTGCTGACTTCAGCTCTTCCCTCTGTAAAATGAGGGCAAACCCAACACTCTCAAAAGTCAGCTTGCTTTGCTGTCAGATACTTTGATTCTAGAGCAGTCTGGTCTTGATCCTTCTCCCAGGTGGGGCTAGGATAGAAGATGGGAGGGCAGGCTGTCCTACCTGCCCACTGAAGCCAATCCCATCGGAGGACTTAAGGAACTCTGTGTAGACCTGGTTGGTGCGCTCGATGACGGTGGCCACAGCATCCTGGTACTGCGGGGAGGAGATGGCCAACAAGGGCAGGGCGGCCAGAGGGACATGGTCCTGGCTGTTGCTCAGGCAGCCCTCATCGTGGCTGTAGGGGTTCAGGCTGCAGACAGGGAGGCCCAAGGTAAGCTCAGCAGGATCAGACAGGTGGGTGGGTATGGGGCTGAGGACCAGACAGAAGACAGAATGTGGGCCAGGAGCTGGGCCCTCCACTCCTGAGACTCTTCAGGAGGACCCAGGCAGGAACCAGGTAAGACAAAGCACAGGCAGGGGTGGCAAGGGAAGGGACCAGGGGCCCCAGGCTCTGCTGACCTCCTATGTGTCCACCCCCTCCCTGTATGGGCCCGAAGGCTCCTGCAACTGTTATGCTCTCTGGCCTGTTCCTGTACGGCCCCCAAGGATACCCCGATTAAAGCAGTCAGCTGGGAGCCAGCTATTGTGGATCAGGGTGGGGACATATCATGATGGCAGACTTCCTAGAGGAGGTAAGGCTTGAACTAGGCCTCAGGAAAGCTTTGGAGAAGCTGAGAAAGGAGGAGAGAGGGCATGCCAGCCAAGGGGAAGGGGTTTTGGCCACAGCTTGGAGGAGGACACCTACTGAATGCACGGTGTTATGTCCACTGTGTAGTGGGGGAGAAGATCCAGAACTTTCATCAGCTTTGCAGAAAGTTCTGTGACCCCACAGAGGGCTAAGGGAGCCTGTCCAAGAGCACACCCAAGACCAATGGACTGTCCAGACTTGGCATTGGGCCCCCTCACCTCTCTACCTCCCCTCTTATAAGTTCCTCCCTCTCTGGCCAACTCAGGGCCACCTGAGGCCAGCCTTCTGGCAGTGTACCCCTGGCCTAGCCCCCATCTATCTTGCCTCTGACCCAGAGGCAACATTGGGCCTGGCTGGTCAAGAGGGACCACAGAAGAGGACCAAGAACTCTCCACCCACTCTGCCCAGACCCTGCCCTTCCCCTGCAGTCCAAGCTTGTGCTGACTGAGAGCGCAGTGCAGATCCCACTAGGGACTCAACAGAATCTGGGGCAGGTGACAGGGTTCACACACCCTCAGCAGGTGGCAGAGTCCTCATGGTGTACAAGGCCAGTCCCACCAGCCATTCCTCATCTCCAAAGAACACAAATTAGAGGAAACAGGCCTTGATTGCTGCCGGAGAGATTTTAATTAGCTGAAAAAGAGCTCCCTCCCAATAGTGATTACGGGGGGTGGGGGGGGGTGATTAATGGCCCTGGCAAGAAGCTGCCTGGAGGAGAGGTAAGCTCCCTCCTGCTGTCCCCTCAAATGGCCCAGCCATCCATCTTCCTGGTGATAGGGGTGACCCAGCTCTGGAGGTCAGATGTCTGGGGAGGATGTGGGGGGAGACCTGAGATGGATTAACAACTAGCACAATTAAGTCCCAGACTGTTAGAGTATGAAGGGACCGAGCCATGAGCCACATCATCAGCATAGCAGTTCCCAAATGCCACTGCAGAGCAGGAAACAGCAGGCCTGTTGTTAAAGATGCAGATTCCAGGGCCCGCCCCTCCTGAATCAGCCCCTCCAGGGGTGAGGCCTGGACATGTTGTGGTTTAATAAGAATCACGCCAGGGATTTGGGTGATTAGCCAAATTGGGGAACTACTGCCCTAATCTCCTTCCTTCCTCCCAAGTCTGAGATCTGCCCTGCCAGTGTCTGTAGAACACAGATAAATCAGGCTCTGCTTCCCATGGAGAGGAGGAAAAGTGAAGGGGGAAGGGAAGGGCTTGGCCATGCTTGTTCCTTACCAGCTAGAAGTGTCCAGGCACAGAGCCCCTCCTTAGGTCCCCTTCCTAAGGTAGGGAGCTCCCCACATAGCCAGCTCCAGCTCCCTGCTGGAGGCCTCTTCCCACCCTCCCCAGACCCGGGCGTGGGGGCTCTACCTGGGACAGTCTCTGCGGGAGCTTACCTCTCTACAGCCCCTGGCACAGTCCTGTGAGCAGGGAAGTACAGGACAGAGGCACCAGCAGCATCCCTCTCTTTCCTAACTATAGAAGCTTCCCAGCTTCCAACAGCCAATCACAGCAATTTGCCAAATGCTGGGCAGGACTGGGGCTCTGTAGGCACTTAGGTCCTCTTTGGCACATATGATTAATGAGAGCCTGAGGTGGCCACCCAAGCCCAGGCCCCAACTTCAGCTAGGGCAACAGGGCAGGCAGCTGGGGAGCAAGGGAGCCCTTAGGAACAGTGGGTGGGATCCGTGATGGTTCAATTTGTCTCCCACAGGTGCCAGGGCCCAAACGAGGCAAGGCCTTGCCAGCGTTGGCGGTAGGCAGGTTGCCAGGGCTCAGTCAGCCCTCTGTGCACACCATCCTTTCCCCCTTGCTCCTTCCCAGCCAGGTTCCCTGCTGGGAATTGAAAGTCTCCCTTCCCAGCCCACTCTCCACCCACCACCCTGAGAATGATGACTGGGAGTCACAGCTAGCATTCCTGAGTTCTTTCTGGGTGTGGAAGACTGTGCTAAGGGCTTCATGTACACTAGCATGTAAAATCCTCATGCCCTAGGAGCTTATTTCTACAGTTACTCCCATTTTACAGATGAGAAAACTGAGATAGGAAGAGATTCAATGACTTCCCCCAGGTCACACAGCCAGGACCCACGTCTAGCCAACCTGAGAGTTCATACACTGAACCATGGAGTCTTCTCTGGCCCTCTCTCAGAGAGCCTGCAGTGCCCTGTGGCTTCTCCATGACCACACTGTGACATTAGGACACATAGGGAGAGAGAGATTTTTGTCCATGATTACTGGCTCATAACGCCATAGAAAATAAGGTCTCTCTCTTTCTTGCCTTTCTCTTGCCCCCCTTTCACTTGCTTGTTTTTCCCCCCAAGCCTAATTTTTCCTGTCTTTCTGTCTTGGAGCTAGACATAAAGAAATTCTCTGACCTACCTTGTCTGATTGTGGGTCATAAGACCCCCATATCAGACCCCCATGCCCTAGAGGAAAGGATGATCCCTAGAGAGGCCAAGAAGCATCTAAAAACAGGCCTTACTGGGCTTCCTACTCAGCCTATTCATATCAGATCACACCCTTCCTGTGCAAGCACACTTCTGCACACTTGTCAGTCATACCTGTGAGACTTTCCTTAAGTCTCCATACAAGGCCCTGGAGGACAGGGTTCAGGGACCTTCCAGATAGCTGAATATATGGAGGTCCCTGTAAGGTGGCATACCCAGGGAAGTCAGGGACACTTGCACCCCTTCCCCTCTACCTTGCCCTATGCATCTCGTCATCTCTATCCTTTGTATGATACACCAGTAAACATAACGAAATGTTTCCCTGAGTCCTGTGAGCTGTTCTAGCAAATTAACAGAACCCAAGGAGGAGGTTGTGGGATCTCTGATTTATAGCTGGTCAGTTGGAAGCACCAGCATCAGAAATGGGGGCAGTGTTGTGGGACTGAGTCCTTAATTGAGGGGTCTGATGCCATCTCCAGGTATGCAGTGATTAAACCGGGGGACACCCTGCAGGCATCTGCTGCTCATTGGTGGAAGAAACCCCTACCCCTTTGGTCACATAGGTCTTCTTTGTTGGTTTTGTGGCATGAGAGCAGAGGAAAACATACTTCATTCCCCTCCACCACACACACACACAGATCCCTACGGGGCTCTAATTACATGACCAAGCCTGACTTCTGCTCCATTGTTTGGGCCACCCTGGGGGAAACTGCTTAACTTCCCAGAGCCTCAGTTTCCTTATCTGGGCCAGTTGGATCAGACCCATTGAGCATAGGAAGTGGGCTCCCCACTTCATGGGCTCCCCAGCACCACCCAGCCCTGTGCAGAGGACTTTTCCCAACCACTATGATGCTTGTGTCCCATTGGGTCTGACATCCCAGAGAAGCTCTGGCAGGTTCCCCCTGCCCAGGAAGTAACCACAAGGCAGAGCTGGTCCCTCTACTTAGTGGCCCCCAACAGCCCCAACTAGTCCAAACAAGCAGAAATGGACTCACTGAGAGACGAGTGAGAAAGCTTCAGAGCAGATGGCAGGACAGGGGACAAACTTGATGAGGATGTGGCCCAGAGCAGCAGGGAAGTGGGCTCGTGTGACCTTCTCCAGCACAGAGCTGAAGGTGTGGATGTCGGCGGCCTTGCAGGACGGGTCCCCTGAGCCCGTGTCCAGGATGCTCCCCCCGTGCAGCACCAGCAGGAGGACATGCGTCTTGCAGGAGCGCTGTGGGCAGCCTTCCTGAGAGGGATATCAGCCAGGATAGAGAGGGAGAGACAGCAGGGAGGAGAGGGAGGCACACAGGACACACACATGCACACAGAGACTAAGGCCGGGGAAGAAGGGACTGAGCCCAGCCTGCCTCACAGCTCCAAGGAATTCTACAGCCCTAACCCCCCACCATCTATGTGACAAAACCTTTGGTGCATGCAAAATGGGGACACCATCTCTAAAGAGGGCAAGATCCTTGATGTATGTGAGGACAGGAAAGGTCCCAAGAGATCTTTCTTATTCATATGGGATCCCAAAGCCCAGAGACACACAGCAAGTCAAATGAAGAGCTGGAAGAAAACTAGGCATCTGTCTGCCATCCTAAGGCTCTTTCTACATTCCTGACCATGGAGGCGGGCCCAGGCACACCCAGAAACCTGGCCCACCTCGCTGTCTTCATGGATCTCGATGCTTCCCTGGGCTGGGAATCGCTGTCTCCTCAGGGAAACCCGGTACAACTCTCCTGTAGGGGGAAAAGAGGGAGGACTCAGCATCTCCAGGCTCCCACTACAGCGACTGAAGGTGGGGCATGGGTCCCAGGAGGGAGCCCTGGGCTTCTAGGTGAGTTAGAATTAGTCTGGAGCTAGGGAGAGCCACTCTGTCCAGCCCCCTGCCTCTGAAACCAACACAACATGAAACCCTCTATCCTCCTAAGGAAAAGAAGAACAGCAGAGTGTGGCCACCACTGAGGCTGTCCCTAGACAAGGAGGGGCATCCTAGGAAGGAAATGTCCTGCTTTTCTTCACCAGTAACAGCAGCTGCAGCAGGAGCGCTGTCTGATGACTTCCACTTCCAGTGATGGACAGTAATTTGGGCCAAGCCTCCCTCGGAGAGCTAGAAGACCTGTCATAGTGATTAATTTGATGTGTTTAATTTGCCTGGGGTAAAGGATACCCAACTTGCTGGTAAAACATTATTTCTGGGTGAATCTGTGAGGTGTTTCCAGAAGAGGTTGAATCTGTCATCTGAGTAAAGAGGATCTGCCCTCCTCAGTGTAGGTGGGCAAGATGTTGGGGCTTGAACAGAACAAAAAGGAGGCAGGAAGGAGAATTCGCTCTTTCTTTTTAAGGTCAGACATCTATCACCCCCTGCCCTCACATATCAGCATTCTTGGTTCTCAGGCCTTGGGGCCTGAACTGGAATCACTGCACCAGGTTTCCTGGGCCTCCTGCTGCCAGACAGCAGACTAAGGGATTCCTCAGCCTCCATAATTGTGGGAGCCAGTGCCCCACAATAAATCTCTTTTTATATATCTATATATAGCCTATTGGTTCTGTTTCTCTAGAGAACACTAACACAGCTGGATAAATATATATATTTATTTAAATATCTGGTTGAAGCTTTCAGAGAGGTAGGAAGGCCTTGAATTATGGGACCAGCATTTGGAGCGACACTTGGCATCACCCACGAGCTTTAGGATGAAGCTGGCTGCTGCTCCTCTCAGCTGCCTGGGCTGAACATCTTCTCCTCCAGGAAATTAGGCTCCCAAATCTCCTTGAGCACTCATTGGTCTAGGAAGGTCAGCAGTCCATAGCCATGGACTGACTCTGGCCTACCACCTGTTTTTGTTAATAAAGTTTTATTGGAACACAGCCAGGCTCATTCCTTACATACTGTCTGTGGGTGCTTTTGTGCCACAGCAGCAGAGTAGCTGCAACAGAGACCTTAGAGCCCACAAACCTAAAAATATTCAGCATCTAGCCCTTTACAAAAAAGTTTGCCAATCCTGATCTAATACTTACACTACTATATATCATGACATTGAACTCAAAGACATGCAACAGCCGCCCTGTGCTGCCCAAACAATGCTTGCCATCTTGAGGAATCCTCAACTTCCCTCCTACCTTTTCCATGAGATGGATAACCATTTTTTTTCTTTTTTTTTTTTTTTGAAAAATCCAAAAGTATTTTATTTTATTAAGTCATTTGTACATAGATCATGAATACATTTATGCCATTATGAGATTCAATGTGTTGATTATTTGTACAAATTGGAGTGCTTACATCCTACTAATCAACATAGCCTGCACTTCATTTAAGCATATTGCAAGTACAAGTTGGATCTACTGGGTGTAGAACACAAATGTCTGTAATTGGGTAAATAAGGTGGATACCATTTTCTGTGTGTAGCCAGAACCCACAGCTAGGCTGAGCCACCGTTGACCTTCAGTGAGGAGGAAGTCACTTATCTCTTCAAGTCGTAGTGCATTCTAGATGAGGACAGAACTTTCCTACGTCACACACTGGCCTGACCCACCATAGCCTGCTGCTCCCCACTCAGTCACATCTGGGGAGGGTTCTTCTGGGGATTTTCTGGGCAACCTCAGCCAATACCACCCCACAGGAGGGCATATCTACAAAGAATTCCAAATAAGCAGCTTTCTCAGCAGGAAAGTACATTTCTGAAATATTCTGTCCTTGCAGACACAACCCTGGTCGAAGGGTAACTGCCTTATGAGCCCTGAGATGCTGCCCACACAGACAGGAAATTGTTTCCTAAATGGTGGAGGAGTCAGCTTTCAGGAAGAAAAGGAAAACCTTGTCCTGAGGTCTGACTCTCCCTGACACCAATAATGCTCCTTCCTGTGGTTTAGGCGTCTTGCCCTGGGTCTAGCCAGAGGGGACCTGGGCCCTGCTCTCAGGGCAGGAGGATAATCCCAGAGGACAGTAACGTGTCAGTTGGGTTAAGTACTTAAGTCCCAGGCACTGTGTGTTTTACCTCTATCATCCCGTCCCCACAATTACTCTCTGGGTTTGGATGATTATGCTTTGGGCCCCACTTTCCAGATGAGCAAACTCAGGCTCTAACAACCTACATCAATTGCCCCAGGGACCTTAAAAAATTAAAATCCAGGTCTGCCCCTACCAGACCTCTTTCCACCACTTGAATTAGTGCCAGGTGGGAAAGTGAATGTCTGAGAGGGAGGCCGAGTGTGGCTTCCCAAGACAAGCATCCATACTTCTAATGGTGCATGCAGCCTAGTGCATGGCTCTGGGATAGGTTGGCCAGAGGAACCAGGAGCATGGGCAGAGCTGAGGTTGTCAGTGTGGAGCCTGGGAGGCCCCTCATCCCGAGGGCTGTGAGGGGTGTGGTTAAAGCCATGGACTTTGGAACCAGAATGCCTCAGTTCAAATCTTGGCTCTTAGAAGCTGTGTGACCTGTGCCTTGGTTTCCTCATCCAGAACATGGGGATAATAATGGCAACTACCTCATAGAGTGATGAAGAGGGTAAATGAGTCCATATATCTATAAAGGGCTTAGAATAGGGTATGAGTTCCTATACAGGAAGGGCTTAGAATAGGGCGTGGAACATTCAGGAAGTGTTATACTATGTCCGTGTTAGCTGCCATTGTTATTGTTATTACCAGGGTACGTTGGGGAACAGAGCCAGGGCCACAGCTGAAAAAATGGGGCTGATGGGGACATTGCCACCTCCACACTTGCCTGCCCTGCCGCCAAATCCCTCCCAAGCCTTGGCATGCTCCCCGGCCTCGCTGGGCTGGGTGCCTGCTTGCAGTGTGATTACAGGATTAAATGCTGTGATTGCCACAAATTACCATGGCAAGGCTATAAATAAGTTGCAGGGAAGACATGAGGGTCCTGCTGTCTCCTAGGCACCATTCCCTCTGTTAGGTGGGGACTGGATCCCGGCACCATCACTGATTCCACAGACTTAGGAGCACCCACATCCTTGGTCTACCTGGAGTCAGCTCCCTAGGGGCACATGTGAAGTTCTGGGCATCAAACTGATGGACACGTGCTGCACCTCAGTCACAAATGACGCTAAGGCAGTTCCTGGCTCAGTGGGTGGGGAAGCTACAGGCCAGAGGCTGGATAGGCTTGTCCTCAACAACCCTCACTTCTAGCAAGAGGGAAGAGTCTCGCCTCCTACACTGTTTGAGGACAGAGCCTCGCTTCCTTTCAATGCACAAAAGCCAGAAACGCTTTGCTGTGGGAAGTTGAAAAAGGGAGACCTAGCCTGGCAGATCTAGAGTCTGCCCTTTTGAGAGTTGACTGGCAGGGCCAGAGTTACCCCCATAGGAAGGCACATCTCCAGTTTTAGCAGAGGCCTCTGTGGATGAGCAGAAAGGCAGCCTGAAGCTGCCTTGCCCACAGCCCTCTGCTCTGCTGAGGCCTGGGCATTCCTAGCACAATAATTGAGGCCACTGGCTCTGATCCACCCACAGGACACAACTCTTTCACTCCTCTTTGCCTTTTCTCATGCTGAGCCCTTTGCATGGTAAGCTCTTCCTCTCTTTGCAGACCAGCAAACTCTTACTTGTCCTGCAAAACCCTGCTCAACTGCTGCTTCCTCTCAAACACTTTCTCAGATCCACGTAGGCAAAGACGGTTATCCCACAGCACGCTGAGTTGGGCCTGGCTTACTGCTGTAAGGTGATTTGTCTGTTTCCTCACCAGACTTTGGGCTCCTTGAGAGCAGGATTTATCAGCTTTCCAGGCCTAGCATTGCATTTCTGTGAAACCATTTTGGAAGTGAAGATCCCAGGAGGCATGCACCCTGTGAGACATTTCCATGCAGTTAAACCCCCAGGAGAAATCAGGGTCGGGGAAGTATCATCCACCCAGAAGCATATTTCTTGAAAGCACCCAGGGGAACTAGTATATGGGAACCTCTAGGAATCCTAGAACAGCCTGGCCTGGGCTTTATAATTCCACCTCTAGAGGCTTGCCCAGAGCCTCTGGTGATAAGAGCTGCTGGCAGGGGGTCCTAAGTGGTGGTAAGCCACCTACCAGGAACCCCAGGACCTCACCATCAGGCTGCCCATTTCTTCCCACTTCCTGTTAATTTCTGTTTGCATGGTCCTATTCAGGCTGGGTCCCTGCCATGCCCAAATTTGGGGCTGGTGAACCCACAGCTGTTTTTGTGACAATGTTTTTTGCAGATTTTGAGGCAAGCCAGCTACCACAGTGCCTGCTCCCAGCACCCTGCCCACCCCAGCACTGGGACTATGGCCCACCCAGCTCACCAGGGCTCCTCCTGCCTGCTAAAGAATGGAGCCTATTTTTTGCTTAATCACAGCCTTGGAAAGGCACAAATTGTGATCATCCCTTCTAATTACCAATGCACCACACTGCTCTTGATATAAAAGCCAAGGTCGTCACCCACACACTTGGCGCCATAAGCAAAGCATCACCCCAGTTTGGCTAGAGAGTCCAGCTGTCTCCATCTCTCTTACCACCAGCTGCTGAGGTCCACGATGGGTAGATTCTTGCAGGGAGAGGGGCCTGGCTAAAGTTGAAAACTCAATATTTTGCTCCATCCTTAACAGTCACTCCTAATCTCCCTGAATCACCCCTCAGGTCAACAGAGCAGAGCTGGGTCCAGCTCCAGACCATTTGTCATGTCCTAAGAAGTATCTGCAAAAGTATCTAATCTTGGCTCAGCGTCTGTGGCTCAAGTGGCTAAGGCGCCAGCCACATACACCTAAGGTGGTGGGTTC